GTTTGCTTGAGGTTGCAGCCCTGTTTTGGCAAGGAGAGGCTAAAGGAGGGATGCTCTTAGGGATGGGTTCACCATGACATTAACCCCAGGGCTTGCAGGGCGTTGGGACTCCTGTGTCAAGGAAGGAGAGGCAGGGGATGGGGCTAGTCTGCGGGGGGAGAAGTCACAGGGGCTGGAGGGAAGAAACTTGGGATCGTGCTCCATTGCACTTCAGGGCAGGAAACCCTGCGGAGGAGTTTGGCCCCTTGGTTTGAGTGTTTCAACTGCAAGGTGCAATATTTGATGGGTGAAACCATACCCAGCTCTGGGGCTGGATAACGTCTTCTTTGAAGGAGCATTTCAGAGGATGCAAGACAGCGGTCCTGGCAGTCACCTTGTACCTGCGAGCGATGCTGCTGGGGCTCCAAACACGGATGGTAACAGAGCAACTGCCTTCAGAGATAATTGGAAACAAAAGGTCAGGACAAGAGTTAACTGCATCAGAGACTTGGTACATTGGTGCCTGCTCACCAAAACCACCTAGGAAAGGCAAAGGGAGCTTTCCTGGGACCAAATTACCCTTGGATGTTGAGGCAGGATCTGGGAAACGTAGCTCCCCTATTCTCTGCAGAGCCCCATCCCTAATGATGTGCCTTCTCCCTCCGGAGAGGTCCCATATCCATATCTGGCTGCTGATCAACTGAGAATTTGCTTCTGATTACAAATTACAGAGCGCGAGGGAAGCAGCGAGTCTTTCAAGCTGTAATTACCATGGAGGCTCCAGGTAACAACCCTTGATGAGCCCCTTGGAGAGAGAAGAGTTCATTGCCTTGCTCAAGGGAAGGAGAGTACAACCCTGCCAGCCCAGGGAGATTTGTCTCTCAATTCTTGCCCGTAAGGAAGAAACACAGATTTGTCCATCAGACTTCAAATGAACCATTGCTGGAGCGCTGCTTCCCACCCAGCCAGGGATGGAGGGGGAAGCACATGGATTCCCGGTGCCGGTCCCTCGGCTGTGGGAGATGCTTTGGTTACAGCTGCCACATCTCAGGGCTCTGCTCGGAGGCATGGCCAGCAGCAAGAAATCCCTGCCCTGTGATAGAGATGTAAGAGGTAGGGTTTAATATAAAACAAGGCAGCACCGAGGTGCCTGTGTCACACCTCACAGGGCTCTCCTCCATGGCCAGGAGTGTCCCTGGGGAAATTTCCTTTCAAAAGTAAAAATTAGAGTCTTCTGTCAGTCCCAGACACAATGTGCTTTTCTCCAAAACAGGGAAAGCCTTTATACTGCTGAGCAAAAAAAACCTCCACCAGTGTTCAATGTACCAAGAGGCTTTTTCTGCTCTTAAGTATCAGCGATTCAGAGAGTGATGGGGAAGGCAAAAGCCTTGGCACGTCGCAGGGGAGATGTGTTGCACCTATTCCTGCACGTTTAGGAAGCTGGCGAAAAGTGACTTGCACTTGCACACTTGTGCATGTGCAAGTGTGTGCCTGGGGTTGGGTGTGTGGCAAGGCAGCAAATCCCCAAGGAATGCCACGCTTTTGGGGAGATGCAAACCAGCTTTAATTCGTGGTATAGGGGTAGTCGGTGCTTGTGGTCCCAGCTACAAAACAAGCCATAACTCTGTTAATGAAGTTGCGTTGATTAGGGTTTAATTAACCATTGAGCCTGTGCACCTCCTGCAGACATGGTCCCAGTTCATGAGCACCGTGGCTCAAATCCAGCGCTGGCTGAGCAAAAAAGTGTGTAAGCTTAAATATCTGGTCATGACTCCATCGTTTTCTGATCCCGTCAGCTACATTCAGAAGAAGATTTAAAGGGCTTAAAAGATTTGTGTGTAGCTGTGCTTGGAAGAGAACTGATACCATCTGAGACCGCAATTATTTATTCTCCTTTATCGTACAACGTGCAACATATGGGCCCCTTTCTCCAGCGCGGATGACTAAATGATGGCATCTGGTACTCTATTATATTGCAAGTGTAAAGCAAATGAGAAAAGATCCTCTTCAAACAGCCCTTTCCTATTGTCACAAAGACACTCTTGATATTTTCATTCCAAGGTGCTGCTTTGCTGACTTTTGAAACCATCTCGTTCAGAGCCAGGCCTGTTTCTTGGAAGATGCCGAGATTGCTGGGAACTGGTTTGGGTTTTGGTTTTTTTTTCCCTTAATGCCTCAGCTGGTCCCCGCAGATGAGATCCCTCCATCACCTGCTGCATCTTCCCACCTGATGTGGATATTGTCTGCTCTTCAGCTTGGACCCGCTGAGCACAGCCATCGCTGTGTATCGCTCCGAGCAGCTGAATAGCTCTCGCCATTGTTGCTTTTCAAAGCAGCTTGAGCGGCAGCGTGGATTGAAACAGGTTTTGGGAATGTCAGAGCTCATGTCCAGCAGCGAGCAGCCTGGGCACCCATGGGCGATGCCGGCTCTGGCGTGCGTAGCACCCTGTTTCTTTGCATGTGCGCACCGGGATGCAGAGGTGCTGAGCAGACCACGCAGATCTGCAGTGGCTGAACATCACTGCAAAGTTTTCTGTCTCGTTGGCACTTGAGACCAGGGATGATGCTCGCAGGAGCTGGGGAAGGGAGTTGGTGATTCCTGGCTGGTGGGGGAAGCAGAGGCAAAGAGGGGTTCCCCATCACGTGGAGACCCCCATCACCCTTGTGCAGGCAGGGTCTGAGCTTTGCTTGGGTCTGTCCTTGGGGTCATGCAAGGGAAGAGCTTCAACTGCCATCTCATCATGAGGAGGACCTGTGGCTCATCTGGGAGATGGGTATGCCACAGGGCTGCCATGTCCATGGTTTCAGGTGGTCCCGTAAAGCCTGTTTGAGACCGAATTAACTGGGAACCAGGATAGTGCCCACAGATGTAGTAAGCAAAGTGCTGGAATAAGCAAAGCGCCTCTGGATTCCTGGATGGGAACTGTTCATGGCAGAATTGTTCCTAGAGAAGGAATTACTTTGGCTTGGCTGAGTTGAGAGCTTGTCCAGCACCACAGGGCACGATCACCCTCTGAAGCCTGGCATCTTCCCCAAACACTCCTTTAGCTTCCAGGATTCATGCCTGTCCAAGGCAGACTATTCCCATCCCCAACTCTCCTCACCACAAGACACGTTCATCCCAACATCGCATCTTTCTCTTCCTGGCTGCAATTTAAGCCCATTATGGGTCTTTAACATCTATAGTAGTTCATAAGTCAAAGCCACAGGGAATTTTACTAGCACTGCAAGCTGGTGCGTAAGGTGAACATCTTCTCACAGGGCGCTTTGGAGAGCTGGAGCTCTGCTCTCGCAGGAGATCTCATGAGGCAGACCTAGAGCAGAGCATGGACTCCAAATGGCTCACACCATGGTAGTTTGGTCCTAGTTACCCCAGACCCATGCCTGAAGGATCCATGGGGTCATTATTTATCCAACAGCATCTGCAACATGCCTCCACTTCATGGGTCATCTCTTTCTCCTCCCTTTCCCACACATCTCCAGAAGAAACCCAAAACAAGCACCATAGAGCCTTGCTACTAGGTCCTAGGCTCGTAGTCCATCAACACATGTTTACGTATTTATTTTAGGATGTGATTAATGTTACTACATTTTTTAAAGGCATGTTTTTGTTCAGCCAACGTGCTTTGCCAGCACAAAACGTTCTGTGTTTGGAGCAAAGCACAGCAAATTGGACTCTGCTTTAAAACACAAAGAAGGAGGGGTTAGGGGAATGCTATTTTCTGCTCTCTAGCAAAGAGTAGTGCAGAGCATTTAGCAAAGATAAACGGGAAAGGCTGCCAAGCTGCAGACAGAAGAGGAACAAGGTAGCTTTGGCCATGGGGGCCAGAGAGTGACTGGTTTTCCTCCAGCATGTTCTGGGCTCTGAATTAAGGTTTCTGGGGTGGATTGTGGAGTCCTGCTTATCTTATCTTTGCATTTGTGTTAAATAAAGAGGTAACGGCAGAAGGGCTTGCATTGCACTAGCACTGAGCAGAGCAACTTAGGAGCCTCACGCGAGCTGGTGGGCAAACGGGGGAGAAGAAGATGGGTTCCTCATCGTCATGGGGTACCAGGAGAGCAGATAATGTGTATCCAGCTCCACGGGGCTCTCCCTGAGGATGGGAAAAGGACATGATTGACTTGTCTGCCTTTGCCGATGCTGCAATGAGGTACTGCTCTGCAGCCCAGCACCATCTCCCGTGGCAGTACCACTCTGAGCAGAACCATCCCTCCATGAGGAGCCTGAAGGTTTAGAAGCTCCGTATGGCACCAGTACGCCCTGTCCTTGGCATTTTTCACCTTCTGCAGCAATCTGTAGTTGCTGAACTGTTCTTGGTCCTTTCCCTGTGCTTCCCAAGTCCCTGGCCCTCTCTGAGGGTTGTGATCTGCTGCATTTTCCATCCACAAGAAAAGTTCCTGAAGAAGGGAACGGTGCAAACGTGACAGCTTTGCTCACACCAGAGCAATCACAACCATTGCCAGGATCTCGCTGTCACCTCTTTCTGCTCCTCAGTGTCACCAGCGCTGTCTGCGTTGTCCCCATGCGTGGCACATAGTGGTGCAATTCGGAGGTTAGAGTAAGCCGGAGACGGGAGCTGTCGACACACCGGTGCCAACAACCTCGTGTTTGCTCTCACCAAAGTCGGAGATGATTTACAGGTCGGAGCCTCCCCTCGAGTCCCTGCGTGGGCAGGATTTTCCCAGTGGTGCAAGAAAGACGACAGAGCTGGTCTTGGAGAGCCTCTGGTGTTGCACATCTCCGATGCACCATCCTGCTGCAGCTCTGTTCCCGGAGATGCTGGGTTGGAGGGATGGAGCAGAGCAGCTCTGGAGCAGAAGAGCTTGCTAAAGGCTCTCACTTGGCAAAAGTCATGCAGTGGCCTTCCTTTGCATCAGCACCACTCTGTCCCCTCCTTAAAAACATCATTAAAATTGTGCTCTGAGGGCTCCTCTGTGGCAAGAGGAGGGAGATGCTGCACCCCACTCCTCACTGCCGGTCCCCAGTGTCCCCTGACACCCCGCTCCTCCCTCTCTTCCAGCTGACGTACCTGCCTCCGCCGTGGGGTGAATGTCGCTCGTCAGATATGGGCTTAGACTTCTTTCCCGTTTACAGTATCACGGCTTGCAGGATCGACTGCGAGACCCGGTATATTGTGGAAAACTGCAACTGCAAAATGGTTCACATGCCAGGTCAGTGTGTAGGGACCCCCTCCCTCCACCCAGCCTGGGTCATTAAGGGTTAACAAGCTGGAAAGGGACCAGGGATTAAAGGAGCTGGGAATACCTTCCCCTAAGGAAAGAGGGATGCTAATAACCGTTGCAAAATGCCCTGAAATAGGAGTGAGATGTGGCGGAGGGTCTGATTTCGCCTTATTTAGCCCCAGTTAACTCCCCTGGGTGGTATTTCCAGCAGCCCCCTCCTCGGTTTGCCAGAAAAGGCCCCCATGGCAGGTGGAGGTGGGGCAGATGCTGCAATACCTCTGCTGCCGATCCCCAACCCGGGTTCACTTTGCTAAAGGGAGGGCTTTGTGGTCCCCTGAGGAGAGCCTGGCGGTCCCCCACTCCCTTGCAGCAGTGGTGGCTGATGCCCACTGATGGATGTGTCCTCTCCCTGCAGGGGATGCTCCCTTCTGTACCCCGGAGCAGTATAAGGAATGCGCAGAGCCTGCGCTCGGTGAGTACCAAGAGATATCCCTGGGTACTGTGGATGTCCCAAGCTGGAGGGACTTCCAGCAGCCTATGTCCTCCTGGCTGGCAGGACTGGGGTGATCCAGAGCAGCTGCAGCCCGGCTGATGAGACCCAACTTGTTGGGAAGGGCTGGGTGCACCTCGGGGTAGTTTCTTCTGGTTCTACGTGAGGCATGGGGCTCCATCAGCGCAGAAACCCTCGGGATGATGGGCACCCCAGGATATGTGGGAGGGGAGCACCTATGGGTCTGGGTTTGGGTCTGGGTTTGGGATGGAGGGATTTAGGAAACTCAATCACCATGTGTTCCCCAAGCAGATGCTGGTAACAGAGTGTGGCCTCCAGCAAAAGGCCTCTCTCCAAGATGGTGAGGATGGCTGTGCGCTGAAGTGGGAGAGAAATAGCCAGGACTGGGTTTCCTGCAGCTCTTCTGAGATGTGACACCTTGGTCCCTCTCTGGGTGGCATGACCTCTGCTCCCACATCTGCTGTGGGTCCCTGAGATCTAACTCTGTGACCTTCTCCAGGTTTGCTTGCTGAAAAGGACAGCAATTACTGCATCTGCAGGACACCCTGTAACCTGACCAGATACAACAAAGAACTCTCCATGGTCAAGATCCCCAGCAAGACTTCGGCCAAGTACCTGGAGAAAAAGTTCAACAAGTCAGAAAAATATATCTCGTGAGTGTTGCAGAAAACAGATCTCCTTTGCTTTATGGGGGGAAAGTGTCTGTTTAAATCAGCCTGCGCTAAGACCAGACCTTACCAATGCCTCTATCACCAAACAGAGGTATGTCCTCCAGGGAGGGTTAGGGTGAAACCCTTGAAGAGATGAGGTGTAGGTTGCTTTCTTCTCAGTAGCTGTATTTCCAGATAACTATATGTTCCTTCCCTGGCCTTGTCTTCATGAGCATACTCCATACCCACCAAAAAAAGTGCAAAAACTCCTCTTATTTTGAAGGGGAAGCCCAGTCTTGCTGGCCCTGTCTGAGATATTGCTGCTCCCTACCTAAGTCTGGGCTGTGGACCTCAGGCAGCCACTGTCTTGGACCTCTCCCAGCTGTGGACACATGATCGCCTTGTGGAGGCAGCAAGAGTTATTCCGTATTAAACATCCTTTGGGCTCTTGCTGTTATCATCAAGGTGAGATGCAGAGGTTAGATCCTGAGAGATCTTGGGGAAACATTTTCCAGTTTCTGCTAAGGCTGCCAGAGCCCTAACGATGCCCTGTGGTCTTGGTCTCCAGAAGCTCCAAGTGTCTGTGGGTTGCTGAGGACCCCAGAGAGAGAACAGTCAGGACAGAGTGGGGAATAAAGCCCCTAAGTCGCTTTTTTTTTTTCTTATCCCAAAGCACACGAGGCCGCTGGTGGCTGATGGGCTGATGCTGTTGTCCTCTTTCTACAGAGAGAATATTCTTGTGCTGGACATATTTTTTGAAGCACTCAACTATGAGACAATTGAGCAGAAGAAAGCCTATGAAGTGGCAGCCTTACTTGGTAAGAAGAGATTTGAAGTTTGTGTGAGCCTGTGCTGGGGTCCATGCGTGTTTATGGGACAGACAGATGCTATGAGTGGGTGCACAGCTTATGTGCATTGCCTTGAAAATCCCAGCAAGGTCCAGACGCCTTCCTGGCCAGCATGCTTTCAACCTCATCTCTTATTTTTCTTCCAACACCAAGCCGTCCCAGGAATGTCCCAGGGACCACAGCTAGTCTGTGTGTGACCTCTGAAAGGTTAACGTGAGCTGCTCCATCTCTGCTTGCCACCAAGGTCCTATAATTTGGAAATCCCAGGGCTGAGCGGGTGATGAATGCTCTCTGTGGTGCCCCCCATGCTGGAAGGGCAGTGTGTGGAGGAGGACAGCTCTTAAAACCGTCTGCCCATCACCTCTTGCATGTTCCAAATCCATCCTTTTTTCCAGCCAGGCCCCTGAGCTCTTTGCCTTTGGGTGGTGCCCCGTAGCTTGATGGAGAAGGTGGAGGAGTTGTTGGGTTGCTCAGCCTCAAACTGGGTCAAGCTTTGTGGGTGCCAGCTACAGCTTTGGGTGCTTGGGACCCGTTGGGTTTGAGGGTGGAGGTGTTCAGTCAGGAGAAGCAAGCATGCTCTGTGCCCACCCTCAGCCTTGCAGCCCTCCCGTGTGCCACCCCAAACCCCTCCTGCGATGCAGGGAGCGATCAGCACCTTCGTTTGAAAGCTGGAGCTGGGTCATCCCGCGGGGCCAGATGCTGTGAGCCTGCCCCAGGATGGGGACACTGCGGGGAGCAGAGCTCCCCACGTCCCATCGGGTGCCCCCACATCACCCCGCAGTGGTACCTCTGCAAAACATACGTGCTGTGAGCCCTTCTGCACCTGTTGTGGGTTCCCCAAGAGTGCTACGGCGAGGAAGAGGAGGCTGGTGATGAAGCCTCTTTGACATAAGCCTCATTTGTGCAACCTTGCATGACCCTCGTTCCCAGGGCACTGCGAGCGTTGGGCAGAGTCTCATCTTCCCCCAGTCTTCAGCCACTTTTCAACCAGCACTTTGTCCCCAAGCACCTTTTTTCCTCTTTCTTCTGTCTCTGTCTCATGGACGCCCACAGCAAAGGTCCCGTAGCCCCTCCACCCACAGCTGCCTTTGCTCTGGGGAGCAACACAGCTGAACCATGGGTGTTTTGCAGCAAAATCCATGAGATTTGTCTTCCCTGAAGCACACGGTTTGGCATAGCACAGCATCTCATGCCGGCAGTTATCTTCTCAGCAGATTCCTGGAAGTCTCCTCTCCCCGTGGTGCCTCCTCTGCAGTCCTTCTCCAGCCCTGGGGGACTCAAGCAGAGACAGCCTTGAGATGCTCCCCAAAAAAAGCAGACCATCTCTCTTTCCTCTCTTTGGCAAGTTTGGGTTTTTTGTCGGCTCCAGAGGACATTACCTAATTCTTCGCCAGCATCTTTTTCCTTCCCCCACTCAGTTTGGGAATTGGGCCGTGGGATTCCTGGGATGAAGCCTGCTGTCTGACTCTGACAGATGGCTTCCTCAGATGCCAGCGTGCAGTATTGCATCCTCATTAGACTTCCAGCTGATGGCCTCGTTAGCAGGAAAAATGCTTTGGTGGCCAGCAACGTCCTTCCCGGGATGCTTTTCATGGCATTAGAGCTGTTGGTGTTCCTAGGGATCATCCCTTGCATTTCCCCGCTCTTAGGGGCTGGCAGCACCCAGGGCAGCTGCACCACGGTTGCACGGGTGCCTCTAAGAGCAGTTACCCTGGGGGTAAAAACCACCCACGTGTTGTTCTCTCTCCTAGGTGACATTGGAGGCCAGATGGGGCTATTTATCGGTGCTAGCATCCTCACTATACTAGAGCTCTTCGATTATATATACGAGGTAAGACCCCCGCCCTTCGCCTTATTCCTCTGGCAGGGTGTGGGTTTGCCAGCCTTGATGCCAGACTGGGGTGGTCATGGACCAGAATCCTCCATGCCCAATGTGCCCACGTGGATTATTAATTTTAACTGATGATACTCTATAATTAATGCTCTCCAATAGTGCTATATAGTCGGCCACGGGTATGTACCGTGATGCGGAGGTCCCTGCATCAGGGGGGCTCTCCATAGGGGGGAGGGCTGGCATGCAGCCATGGCATGGCATAGCCAGGTTTGCTTGGCACCCTGCCTTTGCTAACGAAGTTTGCTTCTCGCTTGGGCTAATTAAGGACCACCTTCATGTGGCTGTGTTGCGTCCCACCCTGAAGCTTGCACTGCCTGGGGTGCTGGCTGGGGACCTGCTGCTGCACCCTCCTGTCCCCATCCCCAGTTGGGCTTCTCCCAGCAGCAAACCATTGTCATCTTCTTATAAAAACACCATTCATTACTGCCGGAGTCCCAGTTTAGCCATCAGGCAGGAGAAGCAGCCAGGCCAGACTTTGTACCACTGCCACGGGGTGGAAAAACCCCAGTCTCTGGTGTCTGCTGTCTGCAGCTCTGCCAGCAGCCCTGCAGCAAGGAGCTTTCTAGGAAGCACCGGGACGAGCTGGAGTGTGGTCCTGTGGCTCCGCCAGTGCCTGCGAGACACTGCTCCGGAGAAAAGTGCAAGCCCTCCTTAATGGGAATTATTGCAATAAGCAGTACGGAGGAGACGTTGTTTTCTGGCAGCCCTCCCTCCTGCCCTCCAGCAGCAGAGTTATGACCCTTGTATATTTTTAATCTCTTTTTGCCTAAGCGAGTTCCCTCAGTGAACGCCGATGTCTCAGCTCAGCGTCTCCGTGGGGATTTTGGCTTTTCTATGCCGTGGTGCCAACACAGGTCTTCGTGGTCCCATGGGGTCACAGCCTGCATGTGAGCATCGTCCCTGCAGCATCCTCCACCGCTGCCCCTGCGAGCGCAGACACAGATTCCAGCTGCTCTCTGCACCCTCCTGCCATTTCAACTTTTTCCACCCCATTTTTTTCACCTAAATGGGCCACAGTCTAAAATAACCCTCCCTGGAGCACCCTCCTTGCCAGTTGTTGATTTTCCTTCCCAGTCTTCATCACCAAATTGCAGAAGGCTTCATGTTGGGGGTCAGGCTCATGATTTTTGTTTATAAAAGGGGAAACTGAGGCAGGGAGAGGGGCTGCAGCTGGGTGTGAGCTGTTGAGAAGCACCTGGTTTGCACCAAGCTGACCCCAGGGACCCAAACACACAAGCGTGTGTCCTGTTTTATAGCAGGAAAGAATGAGTTTATGGCTTGGAGGGTGTAGGCACCAAGTGATGGTCCCCCTGTACTGGGCACTGGTGAGGCCGCACCTCGAGTGCTGTGTCCAGTTCTGGGCCCCTCACCACAAGAAGAGCTTGAGGGGCTGGAGCGAGTCCAGAGAAGGGCAACAGAGGTGGTGAAGGGTCTGGAGCGCAAGTCTGATGGGGAGCGGCTGAGGGAGCTGGGGGGGTTTGGTCTGGAGAAGAGGAGGCTGAGGGGAGACCTGATCACTCTCTACAACGACCTGAAAGGAGGGGGTAGCCAGGTGGGGGTCGGCCTCTTCTCCCAAGTAACCAAGTATAGGACAAGAGGAAACAGCCTCAAGTTACGCCAGGGGAGGTTTAGATTGGGTATTAAGAAAAATGTCTTCACCCAGAGGGTTGTCAAGCCCTGAACAGGCTGCCCAGGCTCCCCATCCCTGGAGGTATTTAAAAGCCGTGTAGATGTGGTGCTTAGGGACGTGGTTTACTGGTAGGCTTGGCCATGCCAGGTTAACAGTTGGATTCGATGATCTTAAAGGTCCTTTCCAACCTAAACGATTCTATGATTCTGTGACCTATGGAGACAGGCAGTTTCCAGCAAATTTGGTACATCCCAGCCCAAGGTCCTTTGCCCTTGTCCCTGGGAAAGTGTCTCCCACTAATTCAGCTCATCTGCTCATTGCCTGGTGATTTCAACGCGATGGCTTTGGGCCCCCTGCACCCAAATACACAATATCTTTGACCTGCATAGTCCAGCGCTCTCGTAGCCCTGTCTCAGCCCCATATCACAATGGGACCAGAGATTTTTAATCCCACGGGATATTGCAGTCAGGGGTCGTTCGTGGCTGTTGCATTAATGTGTGCCAAGCCAGGTGGGTGCACAGGGATGGCAGGCAACCGCAGTCTCTGCTCCGAGCTCGGTCGGGCATCTTGAAAAACCTCTTCATGTTATTAAAGTTGGGATGCTGGCTTTACATTTTAAGACAATCACTCCCCATCAGAGTCCCTTCTGGGCAGCTGTTAGCACTTGGTGGCATTATTCTGCAATAAAATATATTGAAAATTACAAGCATAAAGCTCATAATCGTTTCGGAGTGCAAACAAAACCTACGCCTCAGTTTATATCTCAGGCTGAATGCACGCAGTATTTCATTAAAATCGCCTATTCCTGGCTTTCTTGGGGTTCTTTCATAAGAAAGTAATAAGAAATCTTGCCAAGTTTTCATTTTTCTTCTCTGTTTTACTCCTTTGTTTGACATCTGCTTATAAAACTTGGCAAATAGTTTCCTCTTGCTGCTGGTTTTTTTTTTTTTAAATTTCTTCTTTTGGGGCAAACATGGCTTAAGAGAGCATCCTGGTTCTGTGGAGAGGCTGCCTGTGCACACCTGGGGATGCACGGGCAGGTTCACCCAGCTATGCCCTGTGCGAGGCATCTTCATGGTCACCCGCGACGGATATTTAACCCACACCAGACAGGGAGAAAAGGAATAAAATGCCTTAAACGATGCCTAATCTACATGGTTGATCTAATTCGCTCAGGGTTTCATCAAGGTGGGGTTCAGCGCACCTAAAACTCATTGCATTTTCAACCAAAACATTTGTAAATGCTGAGATTGCCAGCAAACGGATACAACTAGTCTTTTCCAGTGGGTTAGCCAAAATCAGATGAAATATTGACCCTAAAGGTGGTTTGGTTTTGCAACATTGTTCACTCAGTGCAATCCTCTTCTTGGTCCTGCCTCAGGGCAGAGTTGTGCTCCTGGGTTCATCAGGGTCCTGAATCCCCACCACGCGTCGCTGCATGCCAGCCAGCATCCACCTCGCTTCCTTAGGAACTGACCCAATTTTTCACATTTTTAGCTTTCTTCGTCGTTTTTTTTTTTTCTTTTCCCCCAGTGGAAGTTTTTCAGAAAAACACTCACTTTTCAACCTTTCTGTGATTTCCCTTGAAAATATGTTCTTCAGCAGCGGCGGCTGCCAGGGAAATAATGTGGCTGTGAAGGGAAACGGCGCTGACATAGCTGACATTTTTCAATAAACCCCCAAATACATTTAAAAAATTGAGGTTTGGGTTGGTGGTTTGTTTTTTTTTTCCACGTGAAGAATTCAGTTTTGACACATGGAGTGGTTTTCTTGGAAAGATTGTCTCTTTCTCCGGATCCTTTGAAGGTTGTCCTCCAAACTCGGCGCATCCCCTGGGGCTGTGCCCCCAGCCCCCTTGGGTAAGGCTGCTCCATGCCTCATGGATGCCCACGCAGGCAGGGAAGATGTCTTGCCTATTCCTGCCCACCTTAACCCAACCTCCCTCTTTTGCAGCTAATCAAGGAGAAATTATTAGACCTACTTGGAAAGGAGGAAGAGGAAGGGAGCCATGACGAAAATGTGGTAAGGAGCCCCATTAGGAGACAAGAGGAAATTTCCCTGCGGTCGGCTCCGTAGGCAGGCAGAGTCGCTTGATACGGATGCAGCGTTTGGCTCCGGCTTGAGTTATTTCCAAAGGAGTGATGCTATGGCTGGACCAAAGAAAGGAGATGGTGGTTGGCGGGGGGACAGGGAGCATCCA